ACAATATCAAATAACATAACCTACATGAAGAGAAACACCCACATGAGTCACAATATCAAATAACCTAACCTACATGGAGAGAAACACCCACATAAGCCACAATATCAAATAACCTAACCTACTTGGAGAGAAACACCCACACGAGTCACAATATCAAAAAACCTAACCTACATGGAGAGAAACACCCACACGAGTCACAATATCAAATAACCTAACCTACATGGAGAGAAACACCCACATGAGTCACAATATCAAATAACATAACCTACATGGAGAGAAACACCCACATGAGTCACAATATCAAATAACATAACCTACATGGAGAGAAACACCCACATGAGTCACAATATCAAATAACATAACCTACATGGAGAGAAACACCCACATAAGCCACAATATCAAATAACCTAACCTACTTGGAGAGAAACACCCACACGAGTCACAATATCAAAAAACCTAACCTACATGGAGAGAAACACCCACACGAGTCACAATATCAAATAACCTAACCTACATGGAGAGAAACACCCACATGAGTCACAATATCAAATAACATAACCTACATGGAGAGAAACACCCACATGAGTCACAATATCAAATAACATAACCTACATGGAGAGAAACACCCACATGAGTCACAATATCAAATAACATAACCTACATGGAGAGAAACACCCACATAAGCCACAATATCAAATAACCTAACCTACTTGGAGAGAAACACCCACACGAGTCACAATATCAAAAAACCTAACCTACATGGAGAGAAACACCCACACGAGTCACAATATCAAATAACCTAACCTACATGGAGAGAAACACCCACATGAGTCACAATATCAGATAACATAACCTACATGGAGAGAAACACCCACATGAGTCACAATATCAAATAACATAACCTACATGGAGAGAAACACCCACATGAGTCACAATATCAAATAACATAACCTACATGGAGAGAAACACCCACATGAGTCACAATATCAAATAACATAACCTACATGAAGAGAAACACCCACATGAGTCACAATATCAAATAACCTAACCTACATGGAGAGAAACACCCACATGAGTCAAAATATCAAATAACATAACCTACATGGAGAGAAACACCCACATGAGTCACAATATCAAATAACCTAACCTACATGGAGAGAAACACCCACATGAGTCAAAATATCAAATAACATAACCTACATGGAGAGAAACACCCACATGAGTCAAAATATCAAATAACATAACCTACATGGAGAGAAACACCCACATGAGTCACAATATCAAATAACCTAACCTACATAGAGAGAAACACCCACACGAGTCACAATATCAAATAACATAACCTACATGAAGAGAAACACCCACATGAGTCACAATATCAAATAATATAACCTACATGGAGAGAAACACCCACACGAGTCACAATATCAAAAAACCTAACCTACATGGAGAGAAACACCCACACGAGTCACAATATCAAAAAACCTAACCTACATGGAAAGAAACACCCACATGAGTCACAATATCAAATAACATAACCTACATGGAGAGAAACACCCACATGAGTCACAATATCAAATAACATAACCTACATGGAGAGAAACACCCACATGAGTCACAATATCAAATAACATAACCTACATGAAGAGAAACACCCACATGAGTCACAATATCAAATAACCTAACCTACATGGAGAGAAACACCCACGTGAGTCAAAATATCAAATAACATAACCTACATGGAGAGAAACACCCACTTGAGTCACAATATCAAATAACCTAATCTACATGGAGAGAAACACCCACATGAGTCAAAATATCAAATAACATAACCTACATGGAGAGAAACACCCACATGAGTCACAATATCAAATAACATAACCTACATAGAGAGAAACACCCACATGAGTCACAATATCAAATAACATAAACTACATGGAGAGAAACACCCACATGAGTCAAAATATCAAATAACATAACCTACATGGAGAGAAACACCCACACGAGTCACAATATCAAATAACATAACCTACATAGAGAGAAACACCCACATGAGTAACAATATCAAATAACCTAACCTACATAGAGAGAAACACCCATACGAGCCACAATATCAAATAACCTAACCTACATGGAGAGAAACACCCACATGAGTCACAATATCAATAACATAACCTACATGGAGAGAAACACCCACATGAGTCACAATATCAAATAACCTAACCTACATGGAGAGAAACACCCACATGAGTCACTATATCAAATAACCTAACCTACATGGAGAGAAACACCCACATGAGTCACAATATCAAATAACCTAACCTACATGGAGAGAAACACCCACATGAGTAACAATATCAAATAACCTAACCTACATGGAGAGAAACACCCACATGAGTCACTATATCAAAAAACCTAACCTACATGGAAAGAAACACCCACATGAGTCACAATATCAAATAACATAACCTATATGAAGAGAAACACCCACATGAGTCACAATATCAAATAACATAACCTACATAGAGAGAAACACCCACACGAGCCACAATATCAAATAACCTAACCTACATGGAGAGAAACACCCACATGAGTCACAATATCAAATAACCTAACCTACATGGAGAGAAACACCCACATGAGTCACTATATCAAATAACCTAACCTACATGAAGAGAAACACCCACATGAGTCACAATATCAAATAACCTAACCTACATGGAGAGAAACACCCACATGAGTCACAATATCAAATAACCTAACCTACATGGAGAGAAACACCCACATGAGTCACAATATCAAATAACATAACCTACATGGAGAGAAACACCCACATGAGTCACAATATCAGATAACCTAACCTACATGGAGAGAAACACCCACATGAGTCACTATATCAAATAACATAACCTACATGGAGAGAAACACTCACATGAGTCACAATATCAAATAACATAACCTACATGGAGAGAAACACCCACATGAGTCACAATATCAAATAACATAACCTACATGGAGAGAAACACTAACATGAGTCACAATATCAAATAACATAACCTACATGAAGAGAAACACCCACATGAGTCACAATATCAAATAACATAACCTACATAGAGAGAAACACCCACACGAGCCACAATATCAAATAACCTAACCTACATGGAGAGAAACACCCACATGAGTCACAGTATCAAATAACCTAACCTACATGGAGAGAAACACCCACATGAGTCACTATATCAAATAACCTAACCTACATGGAGAGAAACACCCACATGAGTCACAATATCAAATAACCTAACCTACATGGAGAGAAACACCCACATGAGTCACAATATCAAATAACATAACCTACATGGAGAGAAACACCCACATGAGTCACAATATCAAATAACATAACCTACATGGAGAGAAACACCCACATGAGTCACAATATCAGATAACCTAACCTACATGGAGAGAAACACCCACATGAGTCACTATATCAAATAACATAACCTACATGGAGAGAAACACTCACATGAGTCACAATATCAAATAACATAACCTACATGGAGAGAAACACCCACATGAGTCACAATATCAAATAACATAACCTACATGGAGAGAAACACTAACATGAGTCACAATATCAAATAACATAACCTACATGAAGAGAAACACCCACATGAGTCACAATATCTAATAACATAACCTACATAGAGAGAAACACCCACACGAGCCACAATATCAAATAACCTAACCTACATGGAGAGAAACACCCACATGAGTCACAGTATCAAATAACCTAACCTACATGGAGAGAAACACCCACATGAGTCACTATATCAAATAACCTAACCTACATGGAGAGAAACACCCACATGAGTCACAATATCAAATAACCTAACCTACATGGAGAGAAACACCCACATGAGTCACAATATCAAATAACATAACCTACATGGAGAGAAACACCCACATGAGTCACAATATCAAATAACATAACCTACATGGAGAGAAACACCCACATGAGTCACAATATCAGATAACCTAACCTACATGGAGAGAAACACCCACATGAGTCACTATATCAAATAACATAACCTACATGGAGAGAAACACTCACATGAGTCACAATATCAAATAACATAACCTACATGGAGAGAAACACCCACATGAGTCACAATATTAAATAACATAACCTACATGGAGAGAAACACTAACATGAGTCACAATATCAAATAACATAACCTACATGGAGAGAAACACCCACATGAGTCACAATATCAAATAACCTAACCTACATGGAGAGAAACACCCACATGAGTCACAATATCAAATAACCTAACCCACAGGGAGAGAAACACCCACATGAGTCACAATATCAAATAACCTAACCTACAGGGAGAGAAACACCCACATGAGTCACAATATCAAATAACCTAACCTACAGGGAGAGAAACACCCACATGAGTCACAATATTAAATAACATAACCTACATGGAGAGAAACACTAACATGAGTCACAATATCAAATAACATAACCTACATGGAGAGAAACACCCACATGAGTCACAATATCAAATAACCTAACCTACATGGAGAGAAACACCCACATGAGTCACAATATCAAATAACCTAACCCACAGGGAGAGAAACACCCACATGAGTCACAATATCAAATTACATAAAGTACCTGGCTTTTTGTTTTATATGTAGCTAAACAATGTTAAATTTATAATTAAACTATGAGAACAAAATGTTACTATAATAGATTGTTACCAATACAAATGGATTAAATTCAGAACTACTTAACGCCTCCCGAATTGTTTTTTTTTGACATCCCGCCCCCCCCCCCCCTTTTTCTTTTTCTTTTTTGTTAACGTTTTTCCTAAAGAGTTGTATAAGTTGATCTTCATTTTTAAAAAAACACGACTGATTCATTCTGATGCCTGCGATATGTTGTATTCAAATATTAGAGCTAGATAGACAGACAAAAAGACAGACAACAGACTTACCGTAATCAGAATCAACTGTGGAGCAGCCCTTGTCCGCTGTGATACCAACATTCATTCGTTCAGAAAAGCCCAGACTCAGGTCTAACCCAAGTCCGAAGCCATTCTCAACAAGTTCTCTAACGTTACTCCCACTGACCCCGTCATCATCATCTTCAAAACAATCATCCAGGGTATCATCGGACTGTTTTCTGGGGGATCCAAAAGCGGTTCCGTGAAGAACAGAAATCCCATCCTCAAAAAGCGAGTTTATCCCTCCTGCTAGTTCAAGGTCACCTATATCGCCGACTTCCGTCAGAACAATGGAGTCGAACAGAGGCATCATAGAAACCGCCAAGTTATTGTGTCTCTTGCAGACTTGCCACACGGATCACTCAGTTTCCATCTGAAGTTCTACAGCTGGTCATGATCATGAAGTGGATCTGGGGGAGGAATTTGATTGGTACTTCCCCTCGCCAGATGTGAGTCTGTTGTTTATGTTTCATGAGGTCGCACTGCGGGACAGAGAAAATGGTGTCGTTGTTAAGCAGGTCACAGCTTCGCTCCTAAGCAAGAGTAGTCGATACAGCAAGTAATCACAACATGACATAACTTGTTTTTTTAATTAACACTGTACATGGAGATTTGATAACTCCCCACCCTCATTTGTCATTGTTTATTATAGTGCCTTGATAACATGTTTATACACTCCATATGTTCCCAAATATATCGCATTTATTTGCCCTTCGCCATCTCATAATGATAGTTATTATTAGTGTGCATTAATTATTAATAGTTTGAGCCCATTAAGGCGCGCCCTAGAACTTTATAAGACGACTGAGGCACTCCCCCCGCCCCTATCTTTCCATGATCTGTCTTGGGCCGCCCCTTGTACTTGTCAACTCCCGTGACTAGAGATCATGTGCTGTCTGGAGATATCCCTGCGAGGTTCTGAGGTCACTTCCCATCTCTCTTCTCCAGCCCCCCCCCCCCCCTTTCCTCCCCGCCCGAACGACGCTCATGACCACAAGGACACATTTCTATAATACTACCACTTGACACCTGGCAGCCTCAGTTTGTAGTAGCTAGACGCTCGCCTGCGGATCGGATGAGTGTGGGTTCGGATCTTGATAAAGCAAGAGTTTCCACACACACACAAACTTGGCTTCCAGACTTGAATGGGTTCCAGGTAAAGTCCTAGGAAGTAAAAGCGGCTGATGTGATAGTGACCAAGTCACCCACCCAGTGCCGATCGGTCTAGTCTGATGTGCCTAACACGCAAGAAGGCGTGGAGAAGCGTCCTTGAGTCAGTTACCAAGGGGACTGCGTGGTCTCCATGTATGGTGTCCCCCTCGAGTGCTAGGGGTTCCGGGTTCAATCCCCGGTAAGGGCTGGGATTTTGTCACGTGGCTTGGACTTCTAGTAATTCCCCCTGGTCTCTGGGTAGTCAGATCGGACGCTCGTGTGTATTGTTGGAAATCGAAAAGAGTAGCCTAACGGCGCTGCCCGGGCAAAATTTGGAGTTTAAAATCTATCTAAAGTATCTCAGGATCCTCGCCGGTGCTTCAGAGCCTGTGCACTGTGCTGAGCTTCTTCGGGCTCAGACTTGAGTTAGAAGAACGGAGCACTTATGGGTTACACCCGTGTGCCATGATGTTGATCCGTTGTTCAAATAGTCAGTTACTACTAGCTAAGGGCCGCTCTTCCACGGGTGCTTTACTTAATTATTTCAGCTGGCACCAATAAAGGACATATTCTCCGTCAGGCACATCTAATTGGGTAACTGTCTGACCGTGATCATGCAACATAATACTCTCCTAGAAGTCTCTTAAATAAGCGAGGGGGCTTCCAATTAAAACGCACGTGACATCGCGGTGCAGAGTAACACATTGACGTTGTAATGACAGATGATTAAGGATGGTCGCCCCACTTTTAACATGCATCACAGAAGAGCAGTGTTCTGTTGTCCGTTTTCTATTGTTCTCTTTCTTTCTTTCTTTCTTTCTTTCTTTCTTTCTTTCTTTCTTTCTTTCTTTCTTTCTTTCTTTCTTTCTTTCTTTCTTTCTTTCTTTCTTTCTTTCTTTCTTTCTTTCTTTCTCTTTCTCTTTCTTTCTTTCTTTCTTTCTTTCTTTCTTTCTTTCTTTCTTTCTTTCTTTCTTTCTTTCTTTCTTTCTTTCTCTTTTACATCAGTGAAGGGATGCCGTCTGTTTAGCAAGTGTGTGGGTGGAGCAGCAAGTGTGTGGGTGGAGCAGCAAGTGTGTGGGTGGAGCAGCAAGTGTGTGGGTGGAGCAACAAATGTGTGGCTGGAGCAGCAAGTGTGTGGGTGGAGCAGTAAGTGTGTGGGTGGAGCAGCAAGTGTGTGAATGGAGTAGCAAGTGTGTGAGTGGAGCAGCAAGTGTGTGAATGGAGTAGCAAGTGTGTTAGTGGGGCAGCAAGTGTGTGAATGGAGCAGCAAGTGTGTGGGTGGAGCAGTAAGTGTGTGAGTGGAGCAGCAAGTGTGTGAATAGAGCAGCAAGTGTGTGGGTGGAGCAGCAAGTGTGTGGGTGGAGCAGCAAGTGTGTGGGTAGAGCAACAAATGTGTGGGTAGAGCATCAAGTGTGTGGGTGGAGCAGTAAGTGTGTGGGTGGAGCAGCAAGTGTGTGAATGGAGCAGCAAGTGTGTGAATGGAGCAGCAAGTGTGTGAATGGAGCAGCAAGTGTGTGAATGGAGTAGCAAGTGTGTGAGTGGGGCAGCAAGTGTGTGAATGGAGCAGCAAGTGTGTGGGTGGAGCAGCAAGTGTGTGAGTGGAGCAGCAAGTGTGTGAATGAAGCAGCAAGTGTGTGGAAGTAGCAGCAAGTGTGTGGGTGGAGCAGCAAGTATGTGAATGAAGCAGCAAGTGTGTGAATGGAGCAGCAAGTGTGTGAATGGAGCAGCAAGTGTGTGAATGAAGCAGCAAGTGTGTGAATGGAGCAGCAAGTGTGTGAATGGAGCAGCAAGTGTGTGGATGGAGCAGCAAGTGTGTGAATGGAGCAGCAAGTGTGTGAATGGAGCAGCAAGTGTTTAAATGGAGCAGCAAGTGTGTGAATGGAGCAGCAAGTGTGTGAATGGAGCAGCAAGTGTTTAAATGGAGCAGCAAGTGTGTGGGTGGAGCAGCAAGTGTGTGGGTGGAGCAGCAAGTTTCAAACGACGTGACTTCTCTGACAAACTCTGGGGTCATTCTCCATATTGGGCTGTAGTGAATCGTGATGTGGTTCAAACAGTTAGTATTTAGAGGGGGATGCACTAAAGTTATGTGCTTGCTGCTGAAGATAGGGACGGGGCGCTTATGTGACGTCACTTTCTGCTGAAAAAAGATCAAGGGATCTGACGCTCAACACCCAAGAGAAAGGCGAGACGGATATACAAGTAGACTGTTACCGGTGCTGCTGGAATTGTAAACATAGGCGTGATGCTGAAGATGGGGACGGAGTACTTACGTGAATGTTTCGAGAGCTGTGATGTCGATTCTGACCTAAAGCATTACACCCTGGGAATGTATTTCGTAGCTGGGTAGTTAAGGTCCTGACATGCAGACAGGGAACGTGTATATGTTGTCAAGTGTAATGTATATGTGTGCGTTGTTTGTTATTATGAGTGTGCGCGTGTCAGTGTGAGTGCTAATGTGATAGTAAGAGTGTGTGTGCACCCGTGTGTGTGTGTGTGTGTAGAGAGAAAGCTGACCCAGATATCATAATTACTGACAAATTTGTGTGCACGCATGACGCGGCAAATCAATTAAAATACGCCGGCTTTGCAGAAGTGTCAGGACAAGACTCGTTTCTCGGCCTAGATAACAAACTCCAGCTCCACAAGGGACGAGGCCTAGGACGACCGACAGTAGTACAGGCCCCACAGCCTCGTTGTCGCTCCACTCTTCATTATCTACCAGTTAGCCTTGAGATAACGCTAAAGCCCTTCCATTATCAGTGTTTTTCTTCTTCTTCTTCGTGTTCACCAGCTGTAAACTCTAGCGAAAAGTTCTGGTTGTTTATCCACTTCTGGACTGCAGTTTTGTTGCAGAACCTGAGTGTTGCGTGTGCATCCGTTTTACAGATCTGACTAATTTATATGCAGACTGCTGGTTTCTTGCCTCTCAGGCAGATGCATTCCGACTTTAATGAAAGCTCCAAATTAATCGATTTACGACATGCTTTTGGACAGGCAGTAGGTCTGTTCTTGTTTTCCTTATAGTAGGGCCCCGGAACCAACACTAGGAATCAGTGTGTTTAACCACGGCCATCTCTAGATATAAAAAGCCTGAAGATGGGCGTGGTTTAACAAACATCTGGACACTAACAGTTTTTAGGTTTTGTGTAGACTGCTTGTTGTCTTCTGCTTCGACGTTCTCCTCTAATAGAGTAGTTGGCACATTGTGTTGTGGTTAACAGCTTAACTGCGATATCCGCGTCTTGTCTTTCCTCTGAGCGTCGGGTATCGGCCAGATCCCCTCGTCACTCCTTGTCCTTGCTCTGAGCGTCGGGTATCGGCCAGATCCCCTCGTCACTCCTTGTCCTTGCTCTGAGCGTCGGGTATCGGCCAGATCCCCTCGTCACTCCTTGTCCTTGTTCTGAGCTTCGGGTATCGGCCAGATCCCCTCGTCACTCCTTGTCCTTGCTACGTCACTCTCACCAGACTGTGGTGATACATTTGCTCCTCCGAATTAGGCCTTAAACATGTCTGCCTTATCATGCATCCGTATTTCAGCAGGTTGTGCAGAGCCAGCCCAGTCCCTCCGCCTGTTTATTTCCTAATACACCGGCATATTGGAGAAAAGATCCAGACAATGCTCATCACCCGTGACCTTCGAAGCGAAGCGTACCACTCTGCATGAAGCATGCCTGTCCTCACTTCCCTTAGCACGTTCTGTGAGTCAGTTGCAATCATTAAATGTCTGTGTATGTGTGTGTGTGTGTGTGTGTGTGTGTGTGTGTGTGTGTGTGTGTGTGTGTGTGTGTCGCACATAATGACTATGTACAATATATCAAGAAGTTTCGACCAGTCGTTATCAACAAAAGACTTGCTATATTCTTCATCTTCTTCTTCTTCTTCTGCGTTCACCATCAGAAGAAGAAGAAGAAGAAGAAGAAGAAGAAGAAGAAGAAGAAGAAGAAGAAGAAGAAGAAGAAGAAGAAGAAGAAGAAGAAGAAGAAGAAGAAGAAGAAGAAAAGGCGATGATGATGATGATCTACCCAAACTTGGTTATTCCCTGTAAAGTTACGCACAAGCCGAACTAGCATAAATTACCACCACTACACAAATATCTACCACCGATATTAGTTATGAAATATTTCGAATAAAGACAAATGATATACCGCACCGGCTGTTGCC